GATTTACTAAACATCAACGCACAATGAATTTACAGTCTTCATTTACGAGTCTGATATATGTTACTGCGCCATAACCAATGTTACTCGCATCGGAAAACGTATGAATTTGAGACGAAACAATCTTTCCAAAATTCGCCGGTTTATAACTTCTTGGAATCTTGAAATTTTCTAAGCCAGACAGGTTGTTTAGGAATTGATGCCAAGTATGTAGATCAGTCTCAGGTATTACGTCATCCCAATTTAGATTCTGTTGACAAAGCGATTGTAGCAACAACTTTGCAGGCAAAACGAAAGGTGAAACGAGACCTAGTGGGTCATATATAGAGCTAGCTGCAGAAAATATTCCGCGTCTTGTTACTGATAACTTATCTACATGTAGCTTCACACTAAATTTCAAAACATCAATTTCTACCACCCACCTAATGCCTAGTGCGTGTTCTACTGGTAAAAGTTCACAGTCGAGGTTTAATTCTTTTAAGTCCTTGGCTCTCTCGTTAACGGGTATAGCATGCAACACATTGCGTTCGTTACTCACCCATTTTGTAAGGCGAAAACCTCCATTTTCACATATTTTGCGCAAATGTCTTTAACGAATTCTACAGCAGTAAAAATTCTTAAGTATTGAAGAAACTATATTGTCATCAAACAAATGGGAATTGTCAATTGCAGTTTGGCGCAAAGCTAAATTCGCACAGGACGGGGATGACACAGCACCGAAGAGATGAACAACCATTCTATATGTGTTTGGTTTACAACTAGTGTCTCCATTGGGCCACCATAGAAACCTCAAAAAGTCACGGTCACACTCGGGTACTCGCACCTGGTAAAACATTTTTTCTATGTCACCCATAATAGCTGTATTATCCTGTCGAAAGCGAATTAAAACACATGTTAATGTATTGGTCATATCAGGACCTTGCAGTAGCTGCCGATTAAGCGATATACCGTCATACATGGCTGCGCAATCGAAAACAACCCCCAACTCGCCTGGTTTTCTTGGATGATACACACCATGGTGTGGGATATACCACACTTGCCCATCATCTCTGTTGACTTGACTATCTGGTACCACTTCTGCATAGCCATTGCAGATAATTTTAGTCATAAATTTAATATAGTCATTACAATAATTAGTCTCTCTGCGCATTTTGTTTTGAAGACTATTTAATCGACACTCTGCTTGCAACTCTGTTATTAGGTAATAAAATATGCTCGTCTCGAAAAGGCAAACCAATAGTATAATGTCCGTTTTCAAAATTTATTGTCTGATTAACCTTTCTTATAAAAGCATTGTCCTCTTGTGAATTTTCCCTTACATCGTCGATCGATCTTTCCGGAAAATCAAACTTAGTTGTTCGTTGAACCAATACTCGCAAATCTTCAAAATTTTGAACAACTTGCACATCAAGTCTATTAACAGTATTTACTAAACTAGATGAATCTCTAATTAGATTCCAAATAATCAAACCTAAAGACGACAATACAGCACGCGGACTATCAGATGGCCCTGTTTTCACTTCTATCGGTGAATAAGCATTGGGCACGTCATTGCCGATTAATAACCCGATTTCAGCATTTAAAACAGGAATGTCAATTCCACTTAAATGAGGCCACTTACTAAGGTCATTAGTAGTTGGTATATGATCATGTGAAACAGGTATACAGTCTTTAGTATAAATGGTTGGCAAGGCAACAGTATTACATAAAGTCAAATCACACACTTGCATACCATGAATAACAAACGAATTCAAAGTATGAGTAGAACCCATAGTGTCAAAGGTCAATTTAGTTCTTTTACCATTACAGGACAACTGTCGCATCAAATTTTCAGTACAAAATGAAACGTTAGATCCCGGATCTAGAAAAGCGTATGTTTCAACAACATTATGACCATTCTTTGTTTTTACCATAACAGGTATAATTGCCATTGTACATGAGCTATCATTATGGTTTCCGGCCTCCATATCGTTACTAAGAGTACTCGCTACCACAGGTTTTTGATCAGTTTTTGTTTGATTATTGTTCTTATTATCATGTAATACAGGATGATGACTTTCATCACACTCATTATTTGGGCACTTAGTTTTCTTACTACAGAATTGCAAAATATGACCTGGTTTTAAACAACCAAAACATAAACGTTCAAATTTAACAAAGTCCTTCTTCACTGACTCTGGTAAAGATGATAATTGTTTACATACAAACATTGAATGCGAGTGATGCTTACAGTAACAACATGGCTTGGTAAATGCTATGTCTGTGTTATAAGGTCTTGTATAAGTTGATTGTTCATTGGGCCTTGAATTTACTTGTTGAATAGCAAATGATCCTTTTGGTCTATTTGCATGTACTTGTACTTGTGATTTGCGGATTGGTGTGCTTAATAACCGGTCACCCAACAAGGCCTTTTTTACCATATGTTGGATCATTAGCTTTCAAAGCTTCAGTGTTAATTAATTCCACGAGTTGATCAAAATGGACACTGTGTCCTTTATCTCTAGTAGACTGAACAATGTTTCTCTACTTATCGTGAATAAAATAGGGTAATTTTTGTAGAATTCTTTTAATATTTTCAGAGTACTCCAAAATGTTTACCGCTTCAATACTTTTAACTGCATGAAGACATTCTGTTAAGAATAAAGCAAAGTCATCTAAACCCTTAGGATTGTCTGACTTGATAACTGGCCAATGTAAGGCCTTTTCTATAAAAGCATTCGCTATCAGTTCACTATTACCATACCGGTATCTAGATTGTAGTTGATTCAAAGCGCAATCATACGCCTTGTCAGCACGAAGATAACTATAACTACGAACAATTTTATTTGCTTCTCCTGATGTAAATTGATCAAGAAAGTTCAAGCGCTCATCATAAGTGTCACAATTTGTTACGATCACAGAATTAAATTGTCTAATAAATCTTTGATACTCCAAAATATTACCATCAAACGGTTGAATACTTGTATTAGGTTTCTTGATATGTTTAATCATAGAGTACAAGGCTCCTGCATGGCGTCGAAATTTGATCAGGTACCAAGTTCGCCGAAACACTGTCAGGCCTGTTTTCAAAAGGGCTAACATCTTTATTAAATTCACATTGTTTATGTGTAGGTCTAATTGTTAGTTTATCAAAAGAATTATCATCATTACACGTATTAACAGTTTCTCGAACAGTCCTGTCTATGTTGTATTACGTGCGTCAGAAGAAATTATGTCATTAGAATCTTTAACTTTCACATTAGAGTCTGTATTTTCTTTAACTTCGCCTACAACACTAGAGGCCTCATACTTTGACGATGGAGCATAACGTTCGTACAGTTTTGATTTGCCTTGTGAAATAGCTAATTCCGTTTTCAAGTCTAATTCCTTTTCAATAAATTCTAATTCTAGTCTTTTAGCTTCAATGTCTTTTCTTTGCCTTAATGCCTCCACTTTAGCTGAGAGTTCTAAATTCTTTTGTTCTTCATGAAACTTTAATGAGGAAATATCGCTATGATGTGAAGAACTATGATGTGAAGAACGATGACTCGAACGAACAGATTTTTCTTTCGCACATACAGGTTTCGTAGGTGTAGCTATGCCTTCAGTTTGAACAAACCAATTTTTAGTTGAAGACATAAAATTTGATAAATACACATCAGGATCTTCAAAGAAATCATCATAATACGCGGCTCTATCTTCATTAGATAAATGTAAACAATATGCATCATGACAGCTTAAGTATTTATCATAAAGAGTCATCCATTCAGAGTAGTGCTTTCTAACAGTTGCAATCTCTGTATTATCAACAATCAATTGATTTATGTCCTTCACACCTCTTTTCAAACCTTTAAACAGTGTATTTACCAGTACTTGATTCTGCACATGTATATCAATATCAGCACAACTGTCACTTGACTTGTGGTCTCCAGCACCAGTAGATTGCATGTTGAACAGCTAACAGAAGTTAGAAATTACATGTGTAGGGCACAAACAACAATGCACCAAAACTCTTAGAATATTGTTTAATTTGGTAACAGGTTTAATACATCTCAAAATCTTATACAGTTGATCGAAGATCTTTCAAGACTAGAGACATTCGCATAGGCTACATATTAATAAATAATGATGACGGTGGTGATGGTGTGATGGTGATTAGAGTAGAGGTGCTGGTGGTGATTGACTGAAAAGGATAAATAAACCAATCAAGCACCTGACAATAATTATCAATAAACTATCTTAATAAAGAAACATAAAATAGCATCGAGTGCCTGGAATTTTCTGGGACCTGCACAACCACGTGATAAATCAGTCATGCATGTCGACTGTCAATATCATCGTATAATAACAATATATGACTATAACACATTACAAAACTTATGGATTAGATTAAACTATAACTTAATATGCTGCGGTAATTCATCTTACTGTGGTAGAGTGATTTTATTTAGTTTATGGGTATTTTAATATGATCACAATACTAATGTAATTTTAAGTAATATGTCACACATCAATGCATCTTTAAACTATCCTGTTCTGTACACTCTTCTAACCAGTGAGTTCGAGTTCATCATCTGGTCACTGGGATTCAATTTTCACCTTTGACCCAAAGGTTTCTTGGATTTGTATTTCCTATCTCCTTGGTCACTTATAGAATCTTGTAGTGTGAGGTTGAATATTTCATTCAACCTTGGTAGTGATTTTATATTTAAAGTTTCAATAGTTATAATAATAGTTTCATTTATTCGTATCAATTGTGTGTATTTGGTATTGGAAGAATTATTATCTACAGATTTATTGTTTACAGTTTAAAGGTATGTGTGGCTATTTGTTTTATCAGTTTTATAAGTTTATATATATTTTATTTGTCTTTGTTAAAGTTGGCGGACATGTTGGTTTTTGTTAATTACATTCTGCAAATACAAGGCATACAGTTTATAATAGTAATAATAGTAACGCTATTTAAAGCATTTCGCTTTAATAATATAATTAATATCAAATACCCCATATTTTATTACAGACAGAGCTATAAGGTACTTCACCTTGTTCCAGACTCTGGTTACTTTATTAAAAACCCCTTCATGGGTAAGAACATTATTATTATTAGTAAGATTATTTAGATTATGCCTGTATATTTCATACGGGTTAACAGGAGGTAGTTTCCCTTTAAAGTATTTATATAGACTAAGTATATATAAAAGTAGTAGTTAGAATAGAGATTTTAGTGTTAATATGTAATATATTATTTTAATGAATATGAATGAATTGATTTTATATGTTGGATTATGTTATTTATACTGTAATTGTATAATTTCAGGGTTTTTATTATAAGGTAATAAATTGCTGTTTTACTGAACCCTTGGTGTGGTTATTTACTTAATTTTTGACCCCCTACAACATTTGGAGCCCGATAAGGGACTACAACAGTTGAAACCTAACAAGGTGTACAACATTTGGAGTCCGATAAGATGTAATAGTAATGGTTTATGGTATATGGAAAAAAAACAGTAATGGTGTGAATTGAATTTTCTCAACAGTGAGCTCACACGCGTGCGCGTTCGCGAAATCTCCTGAAGGATCGTATGTGGTAGTGCAGTGACATTAACTTTATTTGTGTGTTTTTATTTCTGTGTTTCATATTTGGATCATTATGAGGATATCTATATAAGGTTCGTTAAAATATATTTAATTTTCATATATGTATTGATATGTGAATTATCTCCCTTACAAGTTACAATAAGCTTTATTATATATATTTGTTTACTTAAGTAGATTTAGAATTATTAGGTAATTAGCCTACTATATTAATTAGTATATGAAAATAATATTTTCTGCTGGGTATTCAGTAAACCTATATTATTTGCATTTAAGTGCTATTTAGTGAAAATTAGAGCATTTGAAATTTTGTGTCCGTAAAACTTTAGCCATTTTGTTTACATTTTCAACTTCCTGTTGACATATATTTATTTATAGCTACTTCCTGTTAACCTACATTAACTACTTCCTATTCATCTACATTAGCAACTTCCTGTTTACCCATTTCATTCACTTCCTGTAAGTTTGCATACAGATTTGTTTTAAAATAACAATATTCTACATTTACATTAGGAAATAAACATTAGTACACACTACAGACATTCAATAACATCATACAGTACTCATAAATTGGTGTTTAAAAATTAGTGATTGTTTTCAGAATTCATTTTGTTTTTTCAGAATTAGTATTTTTTTTTCAGGTTCAGACTTTGTAAATTTAACTTTGGTCTTTACTTTCAATTTGTGGATTTTGATTTTCAGATTTTGGATTTTGATTTTTGAAATTGTAACTTCGAAAATTTTCTGTTTTTGAAATTGTGTTTGAGTTCAAAGGTTTTGTTTACATTTGAGTTGATTATTGATTGAAAGTTTTGTGTATTGAAGTTTGGACTTGAGTTTGTATGAATTTATTCTCATGTTTTGATTTTTCAGCATTCTTGTTGTGTTGATATTTCATCATCGTCTATTTTGTTTCGACTTTTCATTTTGTACTTAAACATTTGAAAAGTATATTTTCTTGTATTTATATGGAAGTTTTTGTCTTCTGAAGTATATATTCCACTCTGATCTGTATTTTTTTCCGTCTTCATTTCCGTCTTATACCACTGCACTTAATCACTAACTAACAACCTGCACTTATATATTTATTTGATTTATATTGAGGGTTGGGATTGAATATTGATGTCATTATTGAATAGTTTTGTGTATTGATTGTGGGACTTATTTGTCAGTTTGGTATTTCGAATTTTGTTTCGGAATCATTCTCAGTTTATCCTAAGCCGGCTCTACACTGTAAAACTTTTTCCGTAAAATTTACGGACAAATGGCTGGCAGCTAGGTTGCCAACCAATGTACGTAAAAATTACGACACACCGTAAATATATTTTTACGAACATGTCGTAAAAATTACGTCCAAAGATTGGCAACCTAGCTGCCAGCCATTTGTTCGTAAATTTTACGGAAAATGTTTTACAGCTGTAAAAAACTTATGGTATGATAAGCATCAAAAAGACATTTACTTAAGATTTAAAACAGAATTTAATTATTCAAAACAATATAAGATACAATTAATTCCTCAAAAATGCTTTTACATGATAGTTTAAGATATAATAAAAGACCTGAAAATACTGGAAATTGGAGATTACTGTCAGTAAGTAAAGCTAACAACTGCCTTAAAAAAAAAAAAACCTGTCAACCACAAATTCATATTTTTAACACATTTGATCAAGAGCAGATTTGATATTACAATATGGAGAATGTTTAGAGATCTAACATATTCTTTGGCTGTCAAGCAGTTTGGTGGTATACTTCAACAAAAACAAAGCTCCTTTCATAATTCTTCATTAATAATAATGAACATTTGTACATGGAATAGTGACGACTTTAAAAAAAAAAAAAGAGAATTTGTTGCCCTATTAACAAGGGAAATAACTCTCCAAAATATTTATCAAGTTCTCACAAGACAAGCAAACAAAAATTCCCAGCAATTAAAAAATGTATGTGAAAATTTACATGGATGTATCAAATAATGGGTAGCAACAAAATATAAATTTAACAATAATGAAATTATCCATTCAAATTCTTGTACATGTAACATTTACATTATAATATTCAAATGAATTTTTTTTATAGTAGAACAACAACATTCTGAATCTATTCTACAAATATATAATCAGTGTGTTACAATAGAATTATCCTCAAATCTTTTTCTAAAATCTTAACCAAGGTGTTGTAATATTTACCTCAAATCTATTATTTAAAACATCAACAACATGAAAGTAAATTATAACAGTAAAACATGATCTAATGAAATCATTCAAATTTTTGGAATTAATGAATTTGCATTCTAAATGTTTAAATGAACAATTTAAAATCTAACAATTATTGAACCCCAAAAGTATCATGACTTTAAAACAAGAACAGCATCAATGCAGAATTCCTATTATTCCACCTTAAATGTACAGCTTGTTTCAATGATTAGCTTAATCTCTGTTTGAAAATGTATATCATTAAATTTTCCACAATAACTCTGCCTAAGCATGTACATTCCTTAGTGAGAATGGCATAAATTGATTCAGTCTCGTAGATAAAAATTTAGATGGAACTCGACTACTGACAAAGTTAATGAACCAGTCCCAAAATGAAATGTGTAGATGAGAGTTACACAATTTTAATGTTTATGCAACACGGCCGCATATTTAGAGACAAAATGAACTGAGGATAATTTTACAAATGTACCAAATTGTTGATGGACAAATTAAATGACCAAAAGATTTTTCCATTAAAGTAAACGGACATCTTATCAAAAGTACAATAAGAAGATCAAGTTTAATTAAGAAGATTCATTAAAAAGATTTCTTGCAGTGCGTTTAAAGTCTCATTTACAAAGTATCACTCATAAAAGGGTTGTGGCTCGGTCCCTTATCACCTATTTTATACACACTATGTGCTGGTGTATAAAAACTAACCATAAACTCAATAGGCCTATCCCTAAAGTTTGCATGCATGAACATTATTGCATCATAGGTTGCAACGATACATATCACAGTATTTCTTCTTGGACGTGTTTCCAGCTCCCTAGCCACTGCTTTTCCATCTGACGTTTTTGATTCAAAATGTTCCTATATCCGTGATTTGTGGTTCGCCGGAGGGGAATGTACTTTCAGCGGGACACATGTTTCATTGCCGAAAGCCATCTTTTCTCCTTCTTGTCACATGAACTACAGGGGAGTATTCTGCATCGGATGAAAATGGACAGTTAAAATATCTGTACCATGTTAACCAAACCGTGGTCCAGAATTTAAAGCACCTTGAACCAAAATGTGGCATCTATACCGTCGTATAGTACCGGTATATTGTTGCTATTGTTGTAACTGTACTTCGTCCATTTAAAGTTTGACAGTTTAGTGATTAGTTATACCACTTTTTGGCACACTCGAGTCTTCCTCTTTTTCATGATTTCTGTGCGTTATCTGGGTTAATTTCAAAAATGCACCTGCAAAACAAATATTCTCAATCAGGTTGTTTCTTATGACATCCATTTCAAAAGAACACATTTTAATTAAGGAAAAGGGAGCTAAATGTGCGAGAAAATGAAGTTTCATGTCCACAAACAGGAGACTAAAGAGAGAGAGAGAGAAATGGGGTTTAACGTCCACTCGACACAAACTAGGTCATTTCAGGACTAACATATGGTTTTAATTTTATTTCAATAATTCGCTTGCGCGTAGGGGTCTTTAGCAGTGGGAGGAAACCGGAGGACCCGGAGAAAAACCCACGAGGTTGGACAGGCGACCCTACTCCTTGCCACGTACAACCGGGGATTCGAAACCACGCCAGTTGACTCAATGACAGACTTTATGGTACAGCGCGCACGTGCTAACCATTCAGCCATCCAACCCCCCCAGCAGACTAAACATATCACAAATACTATCAGTGTATACTGGAATAACCAGACTGCCATTCAATTTGGACATATTTCGCCGAGCATAACTGATTACAAATTACACTAAAAACAGAAACGACTGAATGTAAATCAGTTTATAGACATTCATAATAGATTATTATCGTTGCGACCCATTGTGTTCATTTCTCGGGGCCAAAGAATACAGATTTAGCTCCTTTAAGTTAGGTTGAACTTTTCTGATCATGATTCATATTGGTAGTAGCTGTAACTAACGTAACACCCATTGCTTTCCGGGTTAAAACCCATGCTTTCTTCTATCGTTACCGCATCTTGGGTTTCTGATCAGATTTTTGGACTAAGCAGTGGCGACTCTGCACCTATGACAGGTAAATCTAAAAGCAGACTAAAATAGGATTCACCTGTTGCTAATAAGACCTACCCCAAGGTTCAAGCTGGGAGAGAGAAATGGGATTTAACATCCACACACAACACGAACTAGGTCATTTTTGGACTAATAAACATAGAATTTTATTTCAATAATCGCTTTAACCGTAGGTCTTTTATAAACAGTGGGAGGAAAACGAACGACCCAGAAAAATGAACACGGTTAGTCAGGCAATCTTACTCCTTTCAACGCCACTTGAGTCAAAGACATAGGCTTCATTCTGACCTAACTAAGGCCGATGTTAGACCATGGATCTTATATAAGCTCCATGGTTAGACCATTCGTCCAACCACCCCTCAAATTTCAAGGTCCAAGCAGTGGGCAGGAAGTGTTGGTTTTCATTAACAATGCGCTCAACTCCCAAAATTATTATCTTCAGTAAGTTCAATCTTATAATTTTTCTTTACCGGTAGGGCCTACCTTTGAAAAAATTTTACTAACCCAGAGAAAGGCTGGGTAGCCCACTCTATAGATGACAGGAATGACACTCAAGGATGCAATAAGCTGTGCCTAAAAAAATTAGTAAAATAAAAAATTAAAGATCATTATCCAGACAATGCATTGACAATTCAATAAATTCTTAATAATGGTTTTCAGTGGTAGGCCTAGCCTACAGACCTGAGACTATGAACTTAATGAAGCCCAGAAATGTTAGCCCTTCATAGTTCATATATTTTTTTTCTATATCAATGTTATTATTATGTCATCCGAGTAGCCTCAACTAGAACTGAAGCCTCCAAAAACAATGCGAAAAAATATTAGGCCTAGCACTAACACCAGAG